ACAATTTAGAAGACTACCCATTGTATATGCACTTGGAAATTACAGCACAATATCTCCTAATTAATGCTGATTGAGTACTTTGATTTCAAAAATTGAAAAGCATAATACATGGACACTGCATTACACATTCACACATTCTCCTCCCAAAGTCCTTGATGTCAGAGACCAAAATAGAAAAGCCAATAGCAGATTGCTTCATGCTTTTTTTTTCTTACTCTAAGTAAAACTTTATGATTATAAATTCAAAAGTCCAGAATTAATAAAAATGAAACTGCCTTGTGCTATGGCACAAATAATTTATCCCAAATGTTTGGGCTACTTAATCGGAGAAGTGAGGCTGTTTTCTATACCGTATCAATAATTTCAAATGTAGATGCTTTCTTCCTCTGTGATTCTGTGACATGTCACTATTTATTCTATTATTATAGCACTTCATCACTGCAGACCATGCTCATTTTCATGTCTGACTCTCAACTTGATTGTGCCTAGATGAATTGTGAATCCCTTGAAAAGCAAAATGTATCTTTTTATCACGTTATGCTCTCTGCCAAAAACAATACTAATATAAAAGGAACACACAGTACATTTTTATTGAATAAATGCAAAAACAATAAGATATCTTATATACTATAATCTTTCTGTGAGGCATTTCAAAAATACTATCTATTTTATAAAGGTCTGAGAGACCTTTGGAAATGTGTCAAAAGATCATCTTGACAAAATAGGGAAAAAAGCCAGATTTGTATATTTATCTGGGTACTTCCACAATAGAGAATATAATGACATCTATGAGCTTGTCAGGTATGCTCTTTCATTGTCTTCAGTTATGAATTTTAAAAACTGTGTCACAAAGTTTTAATGTCTTGGATTTTCCCATTGGTAAATATGCTGAGAATGATTTAAAAAAAAAAAAAAAACACATAGTAGCCGAATATGTTTTATTCTCTTTTTGACTGAACACAGACAAGAAAGTGCATTATGTAAATCAATTATTGACATCATAAAGATGATCTAATAATTTACATTCTTAATTATCTTATCATTATTACCTATTAATCGCTTCTACCCCTGGCACTTTTGAAACAGATTCTTGAATGAAGTGCCTAGCACACACAGTAGGGACTGAATATATATTGTTGAAATAATAATGAATGAATTTTGTTCCAAGAAAATAATGGAAGGAAACATTCAACTTCCTTATGGCACTAAACCATAGTCTCTGGATCCCAACACCTGAAACAACTCTGTTTCAAAAATATCACTCTGACCTCCTTGGTCCATCGGAATGCCTTTACCTGTCTCCAACAACTTGCAAACATGTTTGATCATCTGGGAGTTGAGGGCAGACAGGAGAGAATGTGCTTTTGATAATGAAATTATTGATGGTATAATACATTTTTAATAATTTTCATTTTAAATTATCTTATTATTTATTACAAAAATATGAAGGCTGAGTCAAGTGAGAATTTTCCAACTCTTTAATTAATCTACTCTACTTGATTTGATAGTACTTAACTCATCCTGTCTTTTGGGAGAAGTTTCTTCTCTATATATAATCTCCATCATAGAGAGGCTTAAATCAGCTTTATTATACCATTACTTGCAAGAGGGGAAGAGAGTTTGCCAATGTATGTCTAGGTTTAATAACTATTGACTGTCTAAAACCTAGCAAATGTAGATTCTATTTGGTATAGCCAAAAGATCCTTTGACCAACAAATTCTTTCAGTTAAAAAAAAAAAAAAGTCCTAGAGTACAATAATTACAATAGACCCCAGTGGGAGGTTTTGGGCTCAGCTGTAAGGAGCAATTAAGTGCAGGTTCTGAGACATTGCGTGACTTTTGTGAAAGGAGTATGGAAATGCTTGTCTCTGTCAATGACTGGACAAGTCACTTCACTCAGCCATCATGGTCTCTGCATTTTGTAGGTTCCAGGAACTGGCCCAGCTGGCAGCCTGGAACTCCATCTACTCTAAAATATCTGATCAATCACTTAACTATTAGAAAAGATGACCCCAGGAGAAGGTCTCTTATCAAGGAATCTCTTAAGAATTTATCTCAAGTAAGCCCAATTTTTAAAAATTATGTACTCTAATTAGCTCTGGGGGCAGAATCCCCTTAGGAAGAGTATGAAATCGAGTTTGCCTTGTTTTCCAAAAGAAAAGTGCTTTCTCTGTTCCAAACAATAGGCTTATTGGGCTACTAGACACTCTTTTCAAATAACATGACAGATTGATTCTAAACAAACTTTAAGACCGCATTTTTTTTTCCAAAGGGAATGACTTTATGAGGAGTTAGAGAATTTTAGCCATAATTTTCTCACCGTGATCAATTTTATAGAGTGCTTTATCTCCATGAAATATCAGATGAAAGCAATTTAAGACCATTTATGAAATTCACCATCTATGACTGCAGCAATATTATCTAGTGGTTATGAGCAGAGATTCAGAAGTCAGAGTGCCCTGGTTTGAACCCAGGACTCTTCAGTTACTAGCTGTGTTAATATCTCTGTTCTTCAGTTTCCCATCTGTAAAATGAGGATAATAATAAAATACATAGCTCCCAGGTTTAGGGTACATTAGATCAAATAAATTCATATGTGCAAATCCTTTAACATGGTACCTGGAACATTATAACTACTATTCAGGATTAATTGTTATTGTTATTGTGAACAATAATGCCAATGGATACAAAATCTAAGATAGTCGTGATATTAGACTCAACTGTATCATGATATTAAAGCTAAAATCAGAATCAACAAAAATATTTTCACAGCACATGTAAATGTCCATGTAAATGATGTTAACTAAGGTTATGTCCTAATTCCCTCCTTGTCTTATTGATTTACATCAAACAACTTGCTATAGCTAACAGATACACCCAATATATGGCCTCCCCCTCCCTTGTCACACACATACACTACAGGAGAATATACTTCTTTTTCTAAAAATTCTGGTGATATGTTTTAATTATCATGTAACATCAATTCACTTCCGAGTTACTTTCAGGAAATGTAAATCACTATCAAACATCAAGCATAAAAGCAAACTCACTGAATTGAAAGGCATTTCCCAACATTAATTACATTTCAATTAACTCCACCAATTTTAAGTAATGCCACACAATGCATCAATTCTTTCAACTATAAGGAAATGCCTTTTACAATTAACTTCACTCTGTCTAGTTTATCAGGATGTAGTTCCTTCTCAGACAAGACCGTCTGTTGGTAACAAATGCCTTTAAAATTGTTTCATGCTAAAACGAGTTCCTTCATATATATTGTTCAGAACTCTAGGACCTCTGCCAACTGATGGTGCAAGGGCTTGAGAAGATTTAAAAGCTCTTCTTTGAGAAATCCACTACCTTTATTTCAGGTAGCGTTGGAGTCCCTGCCCATGTCCAAGTGGGTAGGCCTTTTGCCTAGGATAAAATAAGAACTGGGTTTTTGACCAAATGAGAATATCTACTTTGCTGCCAACACATTTGGTGCATAAAAGATACGGCCCTAGGTTAACCATAGAAACACAGAACACCTGCTCTATATTTAAAGAAATTGATCATGACCTAACTGTAAGCTAGAAACTCACAATGGCTTACCCAAGACATCTGATATTAAAGAGAATGTTCAGGGGCGCCTGGGTGGCTCAGCTGGTTAAGCGACTGCCTTCGGCTCCGGTCATGATCCTGGAGTCCCGGGATCGAGTCCCGCATCGGGCTCCCTGCTCAGCAGGGAGTCTGCTTCTCCCTCTGACCCTCCTCCCTCTCATGCTCTCTGTCTCTCATTCTCTCTCTTGCAAATAAATAAAATCTTAAAAAAAAAAAAAAAAAGAGAATGTTCAAATGGGCAGACCAATTCTCCACTCTGTGTTCCCTAAACTCGATCCCTATATGAATGCAGGTTATCAGAAAAGAAAATTACTCAGCCCTTCGTGATGAATTCAGTATTCTGCTAAGGTACAATTTTATGTCACTACTCAAGCTTTTATAGGTCAAAACAAGAAGCACTCTTTTGAAAAAGTGTTGGTGGCTTTTGCAAAACCGTAATTGAAAAAAAGTTTTCTGCATGTTATCAAAGTGCTTCAGAAAAGTAGAACATAATAAAACCATCCCTTTAATTTAGCTCAGGAAAATGTTGCTTTCTACAAATCAATGTATATATTTTTCTTTGATCAAACAATCAATGAGAGTTATGTGCCTCGAGTGTTTCTTTGTGTGCCCTGTTAGGAAATAATGACATAATTCATGGAAAGTACCACTACTGGGCATCGTAAGCACTCCATTACAGTCAACTTGTTATTAGCTGTTATTAATAATTCTAATCATATTTGAAACGCCAAGGGACATCTTCTTTTTCTGTTGCTGTAGATGGTCTCTGTTCTAATCTTATACTGAACGGTCCTGTTTTATATTATTTCCTTGTATAAGCTACCTTAAAATAGAAAAAGTGTGAGTTCAAATTGAAAATTTTAAAACAAGTAGGATTTCACGACACCTGTGTTTGCAATAATGGCAGAGGGGTTAGTTTAAACTTACAAACTGGGGCGCCTGGGTGGCTCAGTCGGTTAAGCGGCTGCCTTTGGCTCGGGTCATGATCCCAGGGTGCTGGGATCGAGCCCCACGTCGGGCTCCCTGCTCAGTGGAGAGTCTGCTTCTCCCTCTCCCTCTGCCTGCCTCTCTGCCTACTTGTGCTCTCTATCTGTCAAATAAATAAATGAAAATCTAAAAAAAAAAAAAAACTTACAAATTAGGGCCGATGATAGAAGTACAAAGAAGACTGATCAAGAAGTATGTTATCTTTTCTACCACAAAGAGAAGATTTGCCCAAATTCAGCATGTACCTATAATTTTTTATTTATAGTTAGGCATGGTAAAGCCTCAGTAGGTCAAATTAATTGGGACTTGTGGAGAAAGCCTAATGGAATGAATGAAGTTGAAACCACAGAATATATAAATAATGCAGTTCTTTTATTTTAGGAAACATGAAAGCAGAAGCCAAGTAGGTCCAAGCGGGAGGTGATGGCAGGCTGAACCAAGGTCATGACAGTGGGAGGGAGGGCCAAGTGCACAGGAGAGTTCCAACAAACAGGGCAGGTGCGCGAAGTCCAGACGATGTGTCCTTCTTTGAACTCTAGGAGACTGCAGAGAGATGCACGGGCACAGGCTGCTTGCAACAGAGATGGAGGCATTTCCAGGTTTCTAGGCTGGGCAAGTTGAAATACAACCTTTTAAAGACATTATAGGATCTCTTTTTTTGCTTCCATGCCAGTCACTGTCAACAGTCTTGAAATCATGGGCCACGGAAGCAGGAAGGAACCCCATGGACCATCCAGCCAGAACTTTCATTCTGCAGCTGAAGAAACTGCCCTGGAGAAAGGTTACTCAGGGCCACACAGCTGGTCAGTTAAACAGCCCGATCTTAATATCAGGGCTTCTGCTTCTCAGTTCAGCTCTCTACGCTCTGCTATCCTCCTGTGATAGGTTATTTTTCTGGTATTATTGTGGTTTTGTGTTTTTAAAGATTTTGTTTATTTACTTGAGAGAGAGAGAGTGTGTGTGTGAATGTGGGGAGGGGTGGAGGGAGAGGGAGAGAGAGCATCTCAAGCAGACTCCACGCTGAGCGTGGAGCCCCACATGGGGCTCAATCTCACAACCCTGAGATCATGACTTCAATCGACTGAGCCTCCCAGGCGCCCCTGGTGTTATTGTGGTTTTAAAATGGAAAATCTCTGGGCGCCTGGGTGGCTCAGTTGGTTAAGCGACTGCCTTCGGCTCAGGTCATGATCCTGGAGTCCCGGGATCGAGTCCCGCATCAGGCTCCCTGCTCAGCGGGGAGTCTGCTTCTCCCTCTGACCCTCCCCCCTCTCATGCTCTCTCTCTCATTCTCTCTCTCAAATAAATAAATAAAATCTTTAAAAAAAAATAAAATGGAAAATCTCATATCCCAGGAAACCCCTCAATCCCAAGCAAACCAGGTTGTTCCATCACCCTAATGGAGATACGAATTATTATTTATATTCCCTTAATCTTCAAGAGTAGTTTTCATGTCTCATCATGGCAAAAGTTCACCATCCACTGGTGAGCCAAAACCACTCCAGAATAAAGAGTAGCCTTAACATTGAGGATGGTGACTGTATGTCAACAGAGTAGAAGGGATGAGTAAGCACCTCTTCCTTTTCCAATCTCACTTGTGACAAGAACACCACCATCAGTTCCAAGTCATGCGACCAGGACTCCATCTCCACCCCTTTCCCCAATCATATTAGGGCTAACAGATCACTGGTAAAATCTGCAGAGGGTCTTTTTTTCCCCAACACCAATTATAATCTAGGGAAATATTCCAAAAGTTAAAGACAGAGTGGGGTTTGATACCAGCCAATCTTGCTCCCCACCATCACTCCAGGAAAACATGGATTGACCGCAAGGGCATCAAGCAGACAGACACACAGACTAGAGAAATTAAACTATCTGCTTCCCTCCAAAGTCACCAGTAGCAAACAGCAAGCCCTCTTGTACATTCCAGTTGGAGCAAAATGGAAAACCAACTGCAAGGTCATTTGGGGCTTTCACTGGGGAGAAACGACCCAGGCAACATGTACGAGAGAGGCTGGTGTCATCCAGCAGCAAGAAGCCTTCAAGCAAAAGACTGTGATTTCTACCCAAAAGGTCTTCCAGTGTTCCTCTTCTTCGATTGGGCCCTGCCCTTCCTCATGAGTCATACTGGCCGGCACTGTCCCCGGACAGCCGAGCCTCTTCTTCCTCAAAGGCACTGCATCTATTAGAGATGCAGCCCCGGCAGCCACATCCCAGGCAACTCCAAGGACCTGAGCATCCACTTCCAACCTTCATGCAGAAGGTATCGGGGATTTTAATTTCAGATTATGCTGCCCTGACTTTGTGAAAAAGAAATGCCTACTGAGAAGAGAGACAGTAAGAGACATGGCATGTTGTCCTTGCCCCTGGACTCACCATCTAGGACGAATACCTTCCTCCTTTGGGGAGATGGATAGGTTGTTTTTCCTTTGCCCCTGTATCCTCTTTGATTTTGTTTCAAAGGGGTCTGTGAAAAAAAAAGGATGTTTTTTGAATCAATCCCATTCACACTAAAGAAACCACAATATCTTACTTTTTACTTCATTTAAAAAATGAAACCCTTTTACCTCGTCTACATGAAGCTAAAGGGTATGGAATCGAGCCTTTTATATAAAAGTTGCTTTTCTTAGGAAAGTTCGCCATTCCGGGCCATGTGTCGGTCAACGTGCCGCACATGCTCTGTAGATGCCTTTAAATTTCCTTTTCCAAAAGTCAGTGGGAGCCTGCAAAACACCAAAGGTGTGGATGAGCCTGGCTCAAAGTAACAAATTATAGCTAATGTACTTTCTGTGGATTGGAAAGATGAAATTATAATTTCAATTGGAAACAGCCTCTGGCTCCACACCTCCAGATCATAGTAAATCTCCCATTTGAACACTCGCACCTCTGAGGCTTCCTGATTGAATCAGAGCCCAGAGGCTGCCTGCTTTCCCCGGCTTTCGCAGACTGACTTTCCCACTGGGCACATACTGTGATACACCATATATTCTCACCGCTATCGGTTTAGGTTTGTGTAGTTGTTGGGCTTTTTTGTTTCCCTCTGTTTTGTTTTAGGAAGTCTCACTGGAAACAATGCTTGACTTAAAAATTTGAATTTGAACCCAGCATACTAGTAATTGCCTTGAACTTGAGCAACCTCCTGAGCCTTTCTGCATGTTAGTTTCTTATCTAGAAAAATGGCAATAATGATACAATTATACCGGTTTCTGGAAGAATTACCACAGTCCAGGTGAAAGTGCCTATACCTCATCTAGAACTAATGATGTAATGTATGGGGATTAACATAAGAATAAAAAATAAATAAATAAATAAATAAATAAATAAATAAATAAATAAATAAAGTGCCTATACACAGGACCTCAGATATTTATGCAATGCTACAGAGGAACCGTCACTTGAATAGCAAATATTCTGTGTGCCTTTCACCATAATAGTAGAGCAGGGCTCAAAAACAAGACTTTGACTTCAGATAGGTCCCAATCTCATAATAACTACCATGTATCAAGCACCTATTACATGCTACGTGCTGTGCTAAGTATTTTAATATGCATTGCCTTACTTCTCATAACAACACTATGAGGCAAATATTATCATAGCTATTTTGCAGATGAGAAAATGAAGCTTGGAAAAGTTAAATCAATTCCCCAAAGTCACAAGATTAATACATGGCAATGCTGGGACTAGAATGTAGGCCTGTCTGTCTTCTAATAGCCCTCCAATGCAAGCTGAGAGCGCATTAAACACATGCACAAATACACACAGAGTTAATCATATTCCAGAATGTTCCCCACTCTCATTCAGGACTCAGAGGGTTAAAGAGAAGATGACAAAATAGCATAAACAGCTGGTTCCAAGGTGCTAGTTGCTCTTCTGTGATACCATTTTGTTTGTGCTTCTGCAGCTGTACCAGAAAGTTTTTGTTCTCTGAAGAAAATACTGAACTGAAAAGATAATTGGTATTCAAGACACACATGTTTTCTACCAGCAAATAAGAAGAAAGCACAACAGTATTCTTGAAGGATGTTGATTTTTTTGTGTTTTGCAATTCTGCATTTTCAAAAATGACATCTGTTTTGTGAGTGACTAAAAACTCTGGAGGAAGAATTTGTAAAAGGAAATAAAATTGTGTTTCTGAGCATTTTCCTCCTCACTGCCTTCAAATGATGTTTAGTTGGCCCATTTTCCCAAAAACATTGTCAAGGCAGAAGTGTTCTATTTCCTGCCACATTTCTGACAGGTTTGAAATGATGTTCCAGTGGCAAATATTTTAAAAGTTTCTTTTAGCACTTTTTCCCCATGTATCTTTTTTGAGCACTCAAAAAAGAATTGTGCCTTCTAGGAGCATAAATGAATATAATGCATCCCATTTATATCATGCATTTCTAGAAGGAACTCAAAAGTATTTTACTGTCTTCACTTTTCCAGGCTGTTTATTTTTTGCTGGTGCATCAACAAATACAAAAGTTTAAGAGAGCCATTTCTTATTCATTCCCATCTCTTTGATTTATCACTTCTTATTCCATAAATTTCCAGCCTCTACTTCACACAAATAAAAAGATGCAGTAACTCATGTAGTTTGTCAGCTAAATCCCAGTTTTAGAGAAGAATGAATATTAACTAAGGTCATCTGAGGACGTCCCCCCTCTAAATGGCACCGTGTCAGGTTAAACCCCCATTCTCCCAAATCTGTACATGGCCACTCTGCAAGAATCACCTTCCTCTTCTGAAAACATATGAGAGCTTCCAAGTTATAACTGGCAGAATCAACGCCCCTGAAGGTGGGCAGGAACTCCTGGACCACAGGTGCAAGTCTTTCTCCTTCTGCCTTTGCCCAGAATTTATGGAGCCACACATCACAGAGATATGAAATCTAAATGAATCTTTGGGAACTCTCAGGAGGCAGAAATTTCCCAATTTGTCCGGATGATTGAGCTCACATTAATCTGGCCCCATAATTCACCAACCGTAAACCCTGTTGGTACAATGCTTCTCTCTCAAAGCTTATATATGTCATTTTTGTTGTGATATCTTAGTCATACACACTTCAACTTTCTCTGGATTTTAGGCATTGACTAGCCAAGCACACCTGCCTGTGTTTGCGTCCTGGCACAATCCGTCTGGCCCTTTGCTATATATGGATTTCATGTTTCCTCTTTGGAAGTACTTAAGCAGAAAGTCCCAGACTGCTTCACATATAGGATGACTCTCTCGTTACAAGCCTGGAGAGACCAAAGCTACAGATGAGTCTGCCAAGGGAAAAATCATATACCTTATCCTTGGCGTCAGAGTTTTCATCAGCAGAAGCCAAACAGAATGCTACTCACAAGTAGAGAAATTTATATACAAATAATAGAAATAGCATATGGGTCAGGAAACTCAGGTGGAACAAGAGTTCCACCATGTCTGATGATTTGTGATTGGGACCTACATTAGGCACCGTTCTCTACCTTTTGAGTAGCTTCTGGTGTCACCAGTGAGACCCTTCACATTACAAGATGGACTCCGCCAGCTGCCCATCACAAAGACATGTCTCCCCCAGAGTTGCTCTGCTGGAGAAGCTCCTGACACTGGAAGCTCTGGTACAACGTGAAAGACAGTCCTCACACGTCCAGTGTGGGACAGGGTAGTAGGTCCTGGATTCATTTTTAAGTCGCAGTGAAGCATAGGAAAAGTTGAAATGAGCAACGTGGCCTCATTCGTTGTGCACATACGTCACACCATGCATAGCTTCCTTCTTTAGACAAGATGCTCTCGGGCAGTGTAGACAAATTCATGATTTTGAATATTTTCATTTGCTTTTTGTGGTTCCCACTGTTTACATCCTGTTTTTTCCATTTTGTATAAAAAACTTCTTTTCTGAGATGTTGCCAGGGGTTTCATTTATTTTCCTCCAAGAATTATCTATCTATTCTTCCATACTTATAGATTGCCACTCTTTTCAATTCACTCATCCTTTTTTTTCACCCTCAATTCTTATTGTGAACTTGGCCTCTTCCATATACATGTCTACTTGAACACTGACTGTGAATGGCATGGCCTCTCCTCACCTTTCTAAACTTCACTGGACCCTCAAGATCTGTTTCAAATCCCAAATTCTTCACCTAGCTGTCTGAGGTATGAACCAATGCTGATCTCTCCCACAGCATCACACCTCGACCACAACACATGAGTTTCAACTAGATGTGCTATATTGCCCCAACTAGAAACCTATGACCTTCCACTGGCAATAAGCACAGACTTAGGCACAAAACAAGCACTCAAAAAACACTGAGACACAAATGGCTACAGAAAAATTAGAAACGTAGATACACTCAAGAAACTTTCATGTATTTGTATATTTATCCAACAGTGTTTATGAAACCCCTAAACTCCTATGGTAGGCAGAGAGGAAACAGAGACACATATGTCATAATCACTGTTCTCTAAAGATTGAGTGGGAAGAATACAAATACAAAGAAGTGTCTTAATGTGTCATGATATTCTGTGTAGAAATAATTAAAGGGAGGGTGCCTCAGTCGATTAAGCATCTGCCTTTGGCTCTGGTCATGATTCCAGGGTCCTGGGATCGAGTCCCACATCGGGCTCCCTGCTCAGTGGGAGCCTGCTTCTCCCTCTGCCTGTGGCTCGCCCTGCTTGTGCTCTCTCTCCCACACACACACAAATAAATAAAATCTTAAAAAAAAAAAAAGAAATAATTAAAGGGAATAGTAGGAGCACAATGGATAAAGTGGTCAATTCTGTCCGGACTCAGGATTGAAGTGATGATTTAACTGGATTTTGAAAAAATGACTGAGACAGAAAAGGAAAAATCAAGAGTGTTCAGGATAAAGGGAGCAGTTTGAACAAAGTCAGGACAAAATATTAACAATCCACAAGGATGTTAATTCAGCAAGTATGAAATAGGGTCTAGGAATTAGCTTCCTTAACAAGTATCTCCTGGGAAATTCTGATGAAGGTGGACCCAGAACCATACATGGACCCAGAGAAACGACAGTCCACATTCTAGTTCTTGACAAACTTGCTAAGAAACATTTGATGGTGGGTAAAAAACCTTACTTGGCTTGGTGAAAGAGAAGATCCACTCAGGTATGGACAGGTCTTTCCTCCAAACCCCTGCTTCAGTGAGACATCCAAGATATGAACCTGGACCTGGATATTACCTCTCACTTTATAATCCTTCAGTGACATCCCCCTGACCACAGAATGCTTTAGTGGAGCATCCCTGGCCTCACCTCCAGTCTCACTGAATTGGCCCTCTTCCAGGGCCCCTAGTCTCACTGCTCAAACTCTACCTTACAATTATATCAAACGTCATGCCTTCTGCTGCTGCTTATCACTGCTATGAAGTTATTAAAATTTAAGACACATATAGAAGGTTTCTACTGAGGATACCCAACTAAATAAGGTTATTGTTCTTATAGAAACATAGGATCGACTTAAGTGTTAAGAGTGAAATACCAGAGCACTTTCCTTTCGTCTGTGGAATGTTAAATTGTCTCATAAATATAGTGAAACCAAAGGAGTTCAAAATTCTGAGAGAATGTTAAAAGATATCCCATGAAATAAGGAGAACATAGAAGCAAAAAGTATCCTAATCCCCCACTCCTAATGAGTGTATGTACACACACATATATACGTGTGTGTGTGCGCGCACACACACACACACAGATGTCTCATACCACTGGAGGGCATCCTGGAATCTGTGCATCACCAAAATATTCAG